AGACGTGATCCAGACAATAGGGACAAATTTTTACCAACGTTAACGGTTAAAATAAGTTTCCAAGGCAACGATTTGCCGGAAACGGTTGAGCTTTTTTATGTAAAACTAAAGATCTCGCACTATATACCAAGAGTACGGCAATGCTTCAATTGTGGAAGGTTGGGACATACCAAGCTCGGCTGTAAAGCAAAGAACAGATGTGTATTATGTGGCAAAGAGGAGGGCTGCAGCAGCAAATGCATGACCAACAACAACAGCTGTATTTTATGTGGCGAAGAAGGGCACAACTCGCTCAACAACAAGGCGTGCAAAAGATGGCAGAAGGAGGAGAAAATTTTAGAAGTCATGACAATCAAAAAAATTTCAAAACGAGAAGCCATGGAAGTCTATAGCTTCAACACAAACAATCAGTTTTCAATTCTGGACAACTATGACGAAGCCTTCCCACCGATTAAGCCCAACAACACGGGGACTATAGATAAAGATCGCGTAATAAATCGGAAGCTGACTACAACCAAATACAGTTATGTTACTAAAAGAGCAACCAATGACTCAGCCACAAACACTGGTAATCCCAAAAGCCTGAGACAAAAAAGTGAAACACAGCCGGTCTATGAAAATCCCAAATGGAACAAGGTCACTGAAATTGAAAAGTTGGTTACCCTATTAATTAAAAAATTTGAAATTGATAGAGAAGAACCACTAGTAAAGTTGCTAGAAAACATATGCAAGGTTAATATTGACGACAGACTCATTATTAACACCAATGATGAGTGTAAAAGTCCTGCAGTACAACATCCAAAGCCTCAAAACTAACAAAAACTATGTAGATTTTTTTAACAATAAGAATAACATTGATATTGTCTGCCTTCAGGAGATTTTTTCCCATGACGACCAAATCAATGACCACAAACTCCTAAACTTCAATATGCTCAAAAAAACAAGAGCAGATGGGTTCGGTGGCGTAGCCATAGGATTCAGGAGAGGAATTAGATACAGCAAAGTAAAATATAACACCAGACAGGACATCATAATAGCTAAAACCACTAGTCTAGACATGACAGTCACCATATGCAATGTGTACTTTCCACCTAGCATAACCACTAGAGTTTTCGAAAAAGAAATAAATAGATTAGCAATTTTTTTTAAGCAACCACGTCAATGTCATCCTAGTAGGAGATTTCAATGCTAGGCACATGAACTGGGGAGATAGCATTATAACCCCGAAGGGAAATGCACTCAGCAGGGAACTGTCTAACACCAGCTTAATCTGTCTTAACAACGGTACAAAAACGCATTACTGTAGTAACAGTAACAGCAACGCTGGATCGGTTCTAGACTTGACTTTCTCAACCATAGCACCCAGCAATATTAACTGGCAGTGCCAACAGGTTAGTATTGGTGGAAGCAGGCATTATCCTATTATAATTGAAATCAAGCAAATTCAAAAATTACCCAACTTCTTTGTTCCAAAACGCAAATTTATAGAAAAACTAGCCACAGTGGAGTTTAGTAATTTGGATAATCTGCAAAAGGACATTCAAGCAGCTAGAAATAAAGTAAAGATTGACCTAAACAAATCAGGACACAAACCAAAAGCGTGGTGGAACGAGGAGCTAAACAAATTGTACAGGTTACAACTAGCGAAAAGGAAAAAAGCGAATACTACAAATGCAGTGGTGGACTTCGAAATAGCCCTGAGAGCAAAAGAAGAATGGAAACAAGCTGTAAAGGAGGCTAAAAACAAGAATTACAAGGAGAGGATTGAAGAGCTAAACAATTGTCCAAACACCAAAGACGCATGGCGTTTCATCAGCAATGTTAAAGGCAACAAACACAAAAACGGTGATTGGGCCACAGAAGACAATTTAGAATACCTGGAAATGCTAAAGTCGCAAGTAAGAGCCGCAACAACAATACAAGCAACGCAACCAGGTTTGTACCCTTCACATCTGACACAGCAGCCAAACATCATGGTTAATTTTTCGTATGACAATTTTGAAGAAAAACTCAATAGCAAAAAGTCGACAGCAGGGGGGGTAGACAAAATCACCTTTAGCACTCTCAGACATCTACCTAGGGAATCCAAAGAAAAACTGCTAAAGGCCTTGGAATCAAGTTACCATAACAACGAAGTCATTGAGTCGTGGAGG